AAAAAAAAAATTAAATAATATATATAATATGTTTATATTCACAGACCTGCTTAGTGATGAAGCATGATTTTCTTGTCATTTAACTGTATTTCCATTTGTCCAAGTATGAGACAGGAATCCTTCTAAGCCATAAATGAAAAAATATCACAAAAAGCATAAGTCTTGACTCGCATAAGTGATTTCAAATTTGTCTCTTTCCAATGAAAGGATAAAAATGAGAATGAATGAATTGCGTCTCTGAGGTTTAATTGCTTTTTCATGATCCAGCAATCCTGCAGGAAAATGCAGCGTAAAAAAGCCCAATTAGAGTCTTTTCACTTTGTGCTGCAGACAGCAGGGTTCAGGCTGATTGTCTTTCTCTGCTAGTTGCTCTGCTCCAGAAGGTGATACTGGGTTGGACCCCTGTTACCCTCCGAGCCTTCTGTTAAATTTGGCAGAAAAAACACCGGGGCTCAAGGAAGAACAAAGGCGTGCTGGTTTCACCATAGAACCAGAAAAAGAATCCCTAAAGAATGGATTAATTCGGTCTAATCGAGGAGACCCATTCCATGCTCACTCTAGCAATGAGAGCTATTGGAGCAAGCAGGAACCGGCTCTCCTCCTTATTTAATAGCCTAAAATGGCTCAAAAGTTCTTTTCCATGCAACCTCTATACAGCAGATGCTCTGCATTAATTGGTCTATGAAGGCCTGACCCGGGGTTCTGTGCAAAGGGTTTAGGAAGCAAATTTATTATTTGCTATAACCTGGCGTGCATGATGTGCGCTCACGAGGGTTGTGTTTTAAAATACAGTGTGATACAGTCCTTAATGTTCAGCGTGCTTCGGGGGAGCTGATGTTTGGGAGGTAATGTTTTAACAGCAGGTAAGTCCTAAGCACCATTCATCAGTGGCCTGCTCTCTCCCCTCATCCGGCCACAGCCATGACTGATGGGCCTGTCTTTTGTATGAATGTTTAGCACAGTGGCGAGCCATATGCCACTGGCACCAACTCCTGCCCACCAACTCTTACTGTAGAGAAGAAGGAGAGAAAGAAAGTAGTGGGAACGACAGGAGAGAAGAAATACTGGAGCCAAAAACCTGCAAAACACACAAGTCTTTTTCCCCTAAAGAGAGATTTTACTCATATGAGCCACACTTTTTATACAGATAAATAAAGCGATGAGAAACCCTCTCAGTTACTTAAACACCCCCGTGCAACATGAGTGCTTATTTATTTACATATAGTCGTCTACCTAGAGACAGTACCTTGTGGTAGTATTGGAGATTTTAATAAGAGCGGTGGTGGTGGGGAGGTTAGAGGGGAGGTGGTGCTGATCCATCTGTCCCAAGCAGCCTCTCTCCCGGTGCTGCTGCCGCCCCCTCGTGAGAGTAGCACAGCTGTTACTGGAAAGCCCTACTGTCCAGAAAAAGGGGCCCACACTCCTCCCCTCCACCCTGCATCCCTCTGTCTCTCCAGCCCTCCACCTCTCCGCCCAAACACCCCTGCAAGAGGATGAAACGAACCAGCAACCCCAGCCACTGTGCAGTCAGCCTGTGCGTCTGCAATTTCAAACCTCTTTAGATCATTTTTCATGCTCACCAGAAATGAATAATGCACACATTAACTGGTGCCAGTTAATAAATTTCCGTCTCACTGCACTATATTTTTCAATAAGGGTCTGGCTGCTTCGTTTTGTTTTGCAAAACAGTCTCATAGGGCTCCCGCTGCAAATTATCCCAGTCCTCCCCCAACCCACCCACCCACCCACCAATTCATACACAGCCAGAGAGACTTTCCTTGCTTAGAAAAAAAGTGATAAAATAATTGTAAGCTGGTATATTGACCATTTTGTTTAATCCGTGATCATTCATAGCGCTTTTCTCAGCTGAAGATAATACACCGCAACATTTTTCACAAGAGCGCATCCTCAAAATTCAGCCCCCAGGGCACCACTACATAGAAACAGAATCAATCTTGGGGAACTTCCAGGCTTTGTCAGGGAGCCAAATTGGCAGACTCTGTCCATTATATCAGTACAACAAAGCCCCGACTAGCATCTGGCCACACTGGACACTTATAGCCCATCTCTAACTATTAATCATTGGCCACGACATCACGGACTCTCGAGAGGATGGCAGGGATGCTCTCTTACAGAGAGCACTGCTGAAAATGCCAGGGCATGTAGACGCGACAGTCCCAATGCCCACTGACAGTAGCCCTCCTTAAAATGACAGAGTCCATCCAAGCCAGACAGACAGAGTGCTGTCAGGGAAGCGCTGTGACAGGCGAGGAGACCCCTCTGAAAATGCCGCTGTGCCCTAGTGGCCTACAGTGCTGTAGTGTACTGGTAGTATCTGTTGTGAGGTCGTGTCATGTAATATGATCTAGATGAAGCGGACAGGGTGGGTACCTCTCCAGGATACGGACGGGGTGTCAGACAAGCTGCTCCTCTAATAAGGACTGCCATTCTAATGACCACTCAGTCAGCCTAACCTCTGACCCCTACTGTTATAAGAAACAGAGGGAGGGGCTGGCCGGGATGGTGGGAAGGATGTGGTTCAAATGCGCAGTATTTACATCGATTAGACAGGCAAGATGGAGGTGCCCATCAGAGCCCATTAGGATTGTTGTGGTTGGGGGGAGTATAAGGGAGGGACAGCGAGGGCCCTAAAGAGGCCCAGCAGACGCATCACAGGACTGCCCTTGATCGCATCCTGTCACATTGATGAGAACGCTCTCAAAACCCCTCTTATAGCTATAGAGCATGTTTGCAACCATGTGTGTGTGTGCTCCTTTCCACACATACAGCATAGTTGAACTCCACTCCAATTTAGGGAGTCTCCAAGTCATTTTTTCAGGGTGACCATCACATTTATTCCCATCGCTGCTTCATTTAATACCTCAGCACATTGTCATGTAGCACTTCTGATAAGGCCTGTGATTCTTTTTTTTGTTGGTGGTGAGGGGCGAGGGGGGGTTGCTTATCAGATGCAAAATAGCACACCTGCTGTTCCAAAACACCCTCACTGGGTTCAAATTAGTGCTCCCCTGCTTCCATTTTTTCCCCTGTCGAATACGCCGCGGCGACAAAAGGGTGACAATAAGTTTTTTCATAACAAGTTTCATGGCAATCAAAACAAAAACGCCTCGTCGAATTTGGCATTACAGATTTTTGAGCGGTTTTGGCTTTGAACAATCGGACGCGATTCCGCCTAATCCATTGATTATAATGATCAAAAGTCATCAGTGTGATTAATAGAACACAATAAAGAACCCCACCTGGGAGACGATTTCATTATATCATTGTGATGGAGCATCCAAGCAGTTAAAAGGTGTACAGTGAAAAACCCACAGAACAAGGAGAAGACTTCATAAGGCTGTAGTATCCCATCTTTTATTAATGTCACTCCCTAGGACAGCAGGTTTTTGTCAGTCAGAATGGATAATGAAGATGTTGGCGGGGCCGGTGAATCCATCCCTTTAATACTCACATATTTTATGATAATGAAAGGTATTCAAAGAATGATTATGATAAAAGTGGGCTCCCCCACTGGTGTGCCAGCACAGCTGTGCAGCTAGACAGTCAGCTGCAGGCACTGAATGAAAGGATCACACAGAAAGTAAAGAAAGGATCCATAAGTACATAAAGTGAAGAGCTGATGGTTGTGTGGCCAATCGTACATCGGCGGCACTGCGCTTTACACGGCGTGATGAAAAATAATACGAGGGAAACGCTTTCAGTGCTGAATGTCACTATCCAAATGTTTTTTGATCTCCTTGCGTCTGCATTCGCTCCATAGCATGAAGTCTTTTCACTGCACTGACCTTTGCCAGTCTTGTTGAAACGCATTTCATCTCAAACGAAACAATGCTTGAGTGTGCTGTGTATACACTATAGGTTTTTGCTTTGTTGGGACTTGCAGATGCTTTATACATCCACCACGGACTTAAAGGAAAATGAAAACAGACGAGTAACAAAGACATTTCTTCACGTGATGACTCATATTTAAGAGTTCATATACACAGAGGATATTGATGGTCGTGTGTGCTGTCCCCCCCACCCCCACAATGTTATCAGTAACATCTTTCAAGCATCAAAGCATCAAGTGGTGTATTGTACTTTATGTGCAAACAAACTTAGCAGCCCCTAAAGCAAAGCCATACCACCCCACCATGGCTTCAAAAGTTTCCTGCAAGCTGTAGGAAGCAGGTGAAAAAATAGAAGTGGGTTGAACTTTGACCCCGGGTGCACACTTGTTGACTGATGTTCCACACTGGGGTTGCCTTTCCCCTCTTCAGTGTTCTTCAAGAGAAGCAGGCCCATGTGCGGGAACGTATGTGCGTGCGTGCACACATACTTCCCCCCCCCGGGAGATAATCTCCGTCTCCCTTTGAAGGTTCTGTGATATAGAGCTGTTTTCATACAGCACCGGCCATGGGTTTCCTGTCTCAGCTGACCTCTCATCTTCTCATGGACACTTGAGAAAAATGTCGGAGCTAAAAAACAAAACAAAAAAAACCCCAACACCTTTCCCCCATTAACTGCAGTGGTGACAGGAGCAGTAAAGAGGTGAGGCGGGGGTGGTTATAGCTCATAGGGCAATCCCAGTCAGAACTAAAAAGATGGGCATTAAGAAACACTGATGCTATGACCACATGCAGACGAGCACTCTTGGTCAAAACTATTTTAGCGTTTGAGCGTAGGGACATTTGGAACTTCTGAAAAAGGGCCAAGCCAAATAAATGTTACAGCAGACCCTCTGCACGTGCATGGTGCTCTGTCCAGCTGACACAACATGGGGTCAAAGATGAAAAGAGAACGGGGTTCAACATGGATCAGGTCCACATGGCCTTCAAATGGGGCAACAAAACAGCACAGGCATCTGACAGTCCTAACCTGGACACATCTGATGAAATCAATGCACATTTTAACACTAGCAAAGAAAACATTGTATTGCTTTACATTTTCCTTTCCCCTCTCTCTTTTATATTTATTATATAAATAACAGAACAGAAGCTTTATTAACAGATCGTGGTCTTTATTTCCAAATGTTTCAAAGCCAGAATTAGTGTGAGCTCAAATAATATCAAGTGAAACAATTTGTTCTTCAGTAGGCAGGAGTCAAAGTGGGTTCCCTCAGGGTGTGCTGCGTTTAAGTTGGTCCAGTTTGCGTCGCAGCATGTTGTAGTTGTCTCTGGTCCCAGGAGCCTCAGGGTCCAACTTTAGAGAAAGCTCGTAGTGTTTCTTTGCCAGCTCCAGCTTCCCCCAGCGATGATACAACACAGCTGAGGGGAAAAAAGAAAAGAGAACGAAAGCTGCTTTAAGCTGAGAAGCTGCACTGATTCTAATTCTATTCATTTAGCTTATTCGGTACAGCTAGACTGCACAATAACACTTTTACTAGCAAGCATAAATATATATTTGTTGCTTCTGAGTGCTTGGAAGCTCTTAGCAACACTGTAAAATATGTGACACAACCAAAATCGCCTTACCTAAATTTCCATGGCAACTAGCAGCATTTGGGTTGATCCGGAGGGCGTGAAGAAAGAAGCCCTCTGACTCCTGAGATAAAACAAAGGGGGGAAAAAAAGCGCATCCTGAATTGTCTTTACTAGTCCCAGTCATATTTCAGAGCAGACAGAGTACTGTAAGGGATAAAATCCTTATAATGCCTACTATGCGTACTAATGTTTACCGACCTCATATTTTTGTAATTTCCCCAGGACATTAGCCAATGAAAACATGATGGTGTGGTCGTTTGGGAGGACTCTCAGAGCCTCTCGGCCGATCAGCTCTGCTTGACCCAAGTTACCTTACAGGCAGAATGAAAAATTACTAAAAATGTCAGAAAATAAAATTCAAATATACACACAGCAAATCTATGCTATGCATTTGTTAGTGTAATCTACACAGCAAGGCAGCTAACATTTATGCGACAAAGCCTATTGAAATCATGGGGATTATGTTAAAAATGCTGCCCAACATGAAAGCGTTTCAGACTGTTGAGAACACAAATTCAAAGATGCGGCTAAAGCACAGAGAGTCTGAGCGTGTGCTTTATTTGTCAGCAGTATCTAGAGCAGAGTTTTTCTCTCTCCACACATGGAGGATTGGTTTAGTCTCCTAATTAAGGATGAACACAAGGCCCACTGGGTTATTGATCTCTGTCAAAGATCCGTCTGATGTCTGGCCAGAAATGGAGAGAGACAGACAGACAGAGAAACGGAGGGCAAAACAATGGCAGTCATGTCCTGAGTCATGGCCCATGCCCTTCAGACAGCTCGCCAACACATGACTACATGCGCAACTGTGCCTAAATTTACACTGATCCCGTCTTTTGTTTGTGTAATGATCAAAACAAAGAAGGAGGGGCCAAGACCAAAGTGAAAACAATATTCCCAGTTCCTCACTTTTTCAAAATGACACCTATTGTTCTTCTTTTCTCTTCCTCTCTTTTTTGTGTGTTTGGAGTGGAGCTGGGGAGATGGGTAGAATTATTTCTGTCAGATTTGGGGAACAAATGCGGTGGGGGAACCTCTGAGGGGGCGCTGTTCTGGCTGTGCTTGCCCACGTTTGATCAGGAACATACTGGGCCCTGATTGGACAGTTCCAGTACCCTCCTGGGAGACTCCGCCCCCACGGGAGCAGCTTCTGACAAAACGGCTCGAGCGTTTGGAAATCAGAGCATTCTCCACACGGCAGGGAAGACTGCCTTCAAAACTCAGAACACAAAGCTTTAATACATAAATTTCAAGCATTGCTGATTCCTGCTCTTCCGGTCTAATCTTGTTGGCCATTTAGATTTACTGCCTTCCCAAAAATAACAACACTTTGTTTCTTGGCTCTGAATCCTGTAACAAAGTGCACCCACAAGAGAGGCTTTTTTTCCTTTTTCTTTTTCTTTTTTTTTTTAAGTAAAGTGACTCATTTTCATGTAAATTCACAAAAGGCTGAATGTTATCAGTTACTGGTTTTGAACAACAAACACAATAAAACGCATCACATAAAACAATAAAATAGATGTAGTCTAGTGTCTGTTGTATTAAAAGCATGTCTGTTTGTGAGCTCGTGCACTTTTCCACTACCGGTGTTGTCCAGCAGAATGACCATGTTGTTCCACGCCAGGCTGTGGTCAGGTTTTAGCACAGTTGCATTCCTCCAGGCGTTTAGGGCATCCAGGTGTCTGTTCTGGTCGGCATACTGAAATATGAGGTACAGTGTTAGAAAACTCTTTTTGAATTCAATGACAATTTCTATTTTTTTTTAAATTTAGTTTAAATTGTGGATTGAAGCTGTAGAAGAGAAACATATAACATGTATCACATAATAACAACACTACACATGACCTTGTGTAGTGTGTCATCTGGGACGCCTCACAACGTGTTAGAGTTATTTGGGGCTTTTGTCAGGGGCGTCCTGCCTGAGGCTGACCAATATAAACATGGCAAAAGAAGAACAGCTAAGTGAATCTGGCGAAGAACAGTCAGCGTACAGAGTTAAAAACGCCACTTTTTAGCTAGTGCTGCTTCATGTAGAGGTGTAGTTTGTCTTATCCTTGTTTTGTTTTGCTAACAGCTTAATCTTACACAGTGAACATGGTAAACGGGCAAAAACAGATTGTGTGGTTTGAGCCCGGGACCTCACCAAGCGTCCCAGGTTATAGTAGCAGTCTGGGTATTTTCTCCGGAAGCGGATGGCGTTCCAGTAACTCTTCTCTGCCTCCTCAAACTTCTGGAGGCTGTTCTGAACTATTCCCAGATTCATCCAAGCTGCAGCGAAGTCAGGCCTGCACGGTTTTAAAAAGAACACAAAGCCATGAACAGGGAGTCTAAATCTGTTAAAAGAGCTTGTTGGTTTAAACTTTGATGTTAAACAACATTACTGAATGGAAACAGCTTTAGACAACAGCTGCTCTGCTTCCACAAGTTCATTTTTCTCCTTCAGGATATTCCCCAGGTTGTTCATTGCATGGACGTATGTAGGGTGTAGCCTGAAAGCCATAAATAACATGCAACAAACAAGTCAATGACTGTTTCTTTGTCAGAAATGTAGTAGGTCGTAACTGCTTGTAAGGACACATACCTGACTGCTTCTCTGTAATATGTAATAGCTGGAGTGGTGTTCCCTCTGTCAGCCAGGTTCTTACCCACATTATAATGCACCTGAGGGAACAATCATTAGCACTTAAAGCATCAGGACGTGTCTATGACTAGAATTCATTTTCAAATGTGCACTAAAATAATTTACTGGCACAAACTGAAGCGAGGCGGGAAAGCGCAAATCACTGATTTTTTATGTATTTTTCTTTACCTTGGCGTTGAGCGGACAGACAGAAAGGGCGCTGGTGAAGAGGCTTTGTTCTGAACGCCACTGGTGACTGCGGAGAGCACAGCGCACTACATACACACACAACAGTGCAAGCACCATGACGCACAGCAACTTCTGCAAAAAGAGAAGAGGAACCATTTAACAGCCAAGTGCTATAAAGCATTACAATATTAAGCTTCAAGTCAAATGATGTGTGACACTGAATTAATAACCTGCAAAATGTATTTCTGCAGCACATGGACACCACCTGCTGTCATCGTCCCTTTATAGGGAAGTCATTAGACATTTCTCATATCTGTACCTTCCCTGCATCACGAGTTACTGAATTATCAAAGCTGGTTTTGAAAACAGATTTTGAGTTTAAAATCAAGACAGTTTAAACTGACAACTTTGGAAAATAAACCTTTACTAGAAACTGCTTCAGTGTTTGGTGTCCTTTGCTTTATTGTGATCTTTTTGGCATCATTTAGGCGTACCCTGTATTTGGACCAACGGCAGCAGCAGTGTCCTAAAGAGTATGCCAGCAGTAGGCAGTAGCCGGCTGAAGACAGATAGAGAACTCTCTCAGCAATGACAAAGCCCACCCTGAAAAAAATGTTGCTCGCAGGCAGAAAAGGGACCACCAGTAGCACCAGACCCAGGGTCAAAGTCCTAGTGAGGAAAACAGAGCACACACATAGCATCTAAAAACATGTGGTCTGAGATTTAAGCTTAAGAATCTGAATACTGGACCCAAAAAAATTGTCAAGTCTGTGCTAAACCAAGCAAAAAGTATGCGTTGTGCACTGGTGACACTGCGGTGAATATGCTTTTATAGTCACAATCAACTATACGTCTTTAGAAGTCAACATGTACTTTATTTCATCTTTCATTCCAGCAAATCTGAGATGGCTTTCCTCACTCACCTCCTCCTCTGGCTGTCCTGTGAGCATAAGGCTTGGCTTATCAAGCCTACCAGGATGCACCAGAGCAGCAGCAGCCAGACTATCCTCCAATCAGTGGCTGACTTAATGAGAGGCACACAACCCATGGACCAATCAAAACACAGCCACCAGGGACACAGCAGCAGCCAGGCATTAAGGGAGTAGTAGTAATTATAGTTCA